ATTTTGTAAATAGAGACTACGATTTCTGCCTCAGTTTAGAAACAACGTATGTACCATTAGTTTCCCCATGCACACAAGTGTTTTAACGGATTCAGTGGACTAAATTTTGTAAATAGAGACTACGATTTCTGCCTCAGTTTAGAAACAACGTATGTACCATTAGTTTCCCTATGCACACAAGTGTTTTAACGGATTTAGTGGACTAAATTTTGTAAATAGAGACTACGATTTCTGCCTCAGTTTAGAAACAACGTATGTACCATTAGTTTCTACATGCACACACGTTTCTTTGCGGATTAACTGGAACTTGTAGTTCCTAATTACGAGATGTAGTTCATTTGGACGGATTTGACTAAAATCAGATTGACGACATCGGAAGAGGCCTGATTTCCGCTAACTTTTATACTTTTCAAAGAAAAAACTGACAGTGAGCAGCATTCTGACTCAAAATTCTGTGACTATGTTCTCCTTACATTATCGAAAATTGAGACAGAATGTCAAATCTGCATATTGTTTATAGTTTTTCACTGAGAAAAATCAAACATTATAGGAAACCAGGCATCGTTAAATGCAATTAGACTGATTCTTTTAAACACCATCTGATCCAATAATAACAGAGTTCGGCATGTAAATAGCGAAATCAGGTGAAACTTTTCAAAACTGGCCTTAAAAAATTATTTCTTCTGCGATATTTAAAAGGTACAGAGAAAGTGTATGATTTGAGAGATGAGAAAAAAACATCGCTTTCAAAATCGGTTGATCGTTTCAAAAAGTTCTTCTTGCAAGCGACATTGCTTACAAGTTGATGCCTTTCACATAACGTGACATTCAGCATCTCGACAGTTTCCATAAAAACCAAAAAAAAAAAAAACAGTCAGCAGAGCAAGGGGAGCTCCAAGTCGATTGAAGTCACGAAAAAATTGAGGTTAAGATCTCTTCAAATTTTTGAATCAATCCTTAAGAAGAAAGCTCAAGGTAATATTAATCAATTTAAATTCAAAATAATAATATTTGATAATCATAAAGCGTAACATGACACCGATAAAACAAAGATAAACTATTGATTTAGGGATGTTGATACACTTAATCCATCCTCAGCTCCGCAAACTTGGTGGACATATTCATTTATTCGCAATTCTTGGACTCCAGCACTAATTTTAAACCTACCTCGTCAAAACATTTGGTTTGCTTTTCAATTGCTTTATTTTTGTATCAATTATATCGGTAAGAAGCGAGCGGAAAAAGAACCATAATATGATTGCCTCGGAAGCAACAAAAAAGTAAACGCCTCCACTTGAGCTAACACATGATGTGACTGGGGGTCGAGAACGCGTGAGAAGGGAAACGCAGCGAAGGGGTGCAATAATGGAATCGTTCAAGCGAAAAATACCCACGTGAACTTGCTACTTGCGGTGCACCTGCTCTTCCCAGAATACATGCCCTAGAACAACTTAAAAACATTTAGAGAGGAGCTCATGTGCTTGTTCACGACTTGAGGAGAAGGGATAAAAAATAAGAATAAAAAACTGCAGATTAATGAATGAAAAAGGGACCGACATATCCTCCGAGGCGAGGAGAAATAAGCATGAAGGAAGGGACTGATGGTAATGGTAGGGGATATAAAGTATTGTACTGTTTTAGCTGATAATGTTTTGACGACGTCTTGAAAAAATTTAGTTATTCACGAGTAATTTCCTTTCATGGACTTAAAACAAAGATTCAAAGACTTTATGGAGGTCATTGAGAAAAAAAAAGAAGAAAAAAAAACATCGACGGTTAAAGCCCCAAACCACGTACCTCGTTAGCGGTGTTTAAAAATCTACGATTTCAATCTAATTTTTTGAAGGAGAACAGACCAAAATCATTCCTCGAAGTTTGCACAGAATTTTCTTCGTACAAAGAAAAATCATGAAAGTTTTGAAGACGTTGATTAGTTTACCATTTAAAAAATAAAGTATAAGAGGAAGTCTACAACGTGAATTTCAGAAGATTACGATTGATATTTGCGAAGAAAATTCTTTGAAAAATTGAACGAAAATTTCCAAAAATCCCACCAAATCCTGTGCCTCATCAAAGCAAATTTGTCAACAGTTGAAAGTTCATACATCATTTTCCCTTAGCCTAACCTGACGCTGAATTTGGGCGTTTTCGACCCTCTCCTCCTTACCATCAAAACGCTTTTGTGGCATGCAGATATCTATCCATCGACGCGAAACAAAAATGCGTAACGCTCTGTCCCCTGGAGCTTTACGTATTTTATGAACGGCCAGAAATGACTTTCCCAAAAAGCAGACAACAGAAACGACTATATTGATGTGTTTAATTTTGAATTTAATTTCACTCTTATTCTTCGAAAAAAAAAAAACGTAACACTGCCACGAACCTGCTCTTGCTATTATAGCAACAGCAGGGTCACTGAAAATTATGAGTCTTGGACCAATTTGTTGTTTGGCTTTTTCTTGCGAAATAAATGCTTTTCTAACTTTTTGTCTTTTAATACATGTTTTTTTCTTTCGATTGCTTTTTTAACAGATAACAATCAGCTTATTCCGCTTGTTATACAAATCGCTTCCAATAGCTTCTTTAACAGTGCTCTCAATTCACGAGTAGTTCGCCGAGAAAACCCGCACTATCATGATGTAAGTACAAACTTGTGATATCGTGGACTTTGTGAACTGTAATGTAATGAGAAACAACAGTAAATTTCAGAATTTCAAGTATGGTTGGAATATTCAAGCAGAAGTACTATGAGGGTTTTTCGGAGCAAACATTCATTGAAATCTCTGCCTGAGATTTCCTTACTCCACAAAAACATTAAAAGTACGCGTTAAGCAAAATATTTTTCGAAATAATTGCGAAATAAAAAAAAAATTAACGAATTTTTTTTCTTTACGGTCTGACGAAACGTGCGAGGTTTTTTTGCAATTAGGTAATTCTGTAAGGACTTGACGACTCGAAAACAGTTTCATGTATATTCAGGGACTTTTAAGGGCATTTCGTACCCTGATTAAATATTGAGTTGAAATGTTCCTCTTTCACTCTCCCCCATCCCCATTTCCCTTTTCCAGGAACAAAATTTAAATTAGAGTTGAAAAATTTAGCCAAATGCTGGTACAGGGTGTCTAGTCTCTTTTCGATTTGGGAAATCCTGATGAAGGCCTGATTTTTCCTGATTTTTGACTGCCAAATCCTGATTTCAAAAATTTTTCAAATCCTGATTTTTTAAGGAGAAAAATTATAATTTATGCATAAGCTTACGCGAAAGCAAAACTCTAGAATTTCGGACCGCCGACTTTTCTCTAATCCTGATTTTACGACCGACTTTTCCTCAAATCCTGATGAAATCGGGATTAAAACCTGACTGACCTCAAATCCTGATAGAATCGGGAAATTCCTGATGCTAGACACCCTGTGGTAATCGAAATGTTGACTAAACGATTACTCTATCCCGTTGTCTATTCCGATAAGACATAACTCTTCTTTACACTGGCGGGTGATGGAGTGGGGATTAAGGAGACAGGAAGTGAGAATGGTCACGCACTGCTAACCAACTGCGGTCCCTCCCTATGTTCGCTGCGTTTGTGACTCAACACCCGTTCGCACTTGTGAGGGTGTGAAAAGTGTCTTGCGTTATTATAAAATAAATACCTGACAAAATCGATCGAAAGGGAAAAAATGATTCATGCTAAAATGAAAGGTTGTACCTATGCTCGGTGGCCGACTCGTTTAATGCCGTTGGGACGTTAGGTGGTGCCTGATGGTGAAAAGACTACTACATGAAAGTTCCAATCGGTGATCCAAAATTGCGCGAGAGGTCTAGAGAATATATCAAATTTGCGCGAATGGAAAAATTAAGATATACTTCAATGCGGGAATTTTTAAACTACTATGATCTGGTGTGTAAAGGTTTGGCAAAGTAGGAAGCCATAAAATAAATAAAAAGCGTTTTATTTTTTCTGTGCAAACTTGTATCACGGATAATAATGCATTACCATTCCAACATTATTTTAAATGACTGACGTCATCAGAGGAGAGAGAGACGCCGACTGAACTTCCCATGGACTTTAATTTGACCGCTCTAGGCAGAAAGGAACCAAGCCACATCGGCCATTGTCAAGTTTAATTGGGCAACAATTTAAATTTTTACATGAAAACGGCTGTGCAGATTTTTGAGCAAATTTCAGTAAATTTCTTGCATTGTACGAAGCAAATTCCTTAAAATTTTCAAATGAATCGCCGCACAAACATTCTCTTGTAAAATATTAAATAGCTCGATTAAAGTTTGCATAGCTTATATGCGGCTTGCTTCCTTGCTGCTAAACGCGGTCCAACTATTTCCCTATTCAGCCAGGCCAGTGAAATACAATAGCGAAAGTACAGAGATAGATAAGTAAATCGATAAATACGAAGATTTTAAGTATCTGTCATCAAATTTGGGGGTAGATAACTATTCGATCATGCCGGAATGGGGGAAGTATTACGCAAAATTGAAGGCAAATTAAGAATAGCGCTTCTCGTCCAGCATACTTTGTCAACAGTAGGCACTATACAGAGCTGATACTTAAAAGGATGGTCTTGGCGACTTTACAAGACACAGGAAGTTAAATTTAAACGTGGGCCGAGGAATCGATTCTGATGAATCGTCAATAGTTAAAATTTGGTGACAAAACCGTCCCAATAACGCATGTATGTATCTCAATCGAAAAAAATATTTGGACGTCACTTCTTTCGGAGAACTGTTATGCCCAGTTTGAGCGAGGTTGGTCGATCTCAAAAGACGGCAATCAATTAGAAAAGGGCTGTTATATATTCTCCATTTTTCCGAAAAATTAATGAAATATGCGTGATGTCGCGTCAGCAGTGTGGGCGTACATGCGAGGCCAATGAACTTCCTTGGTCACCCTCTCCCAACGGAGGAAAAAAATCCAGCGCCATCTCACTAAAAACCTTTCCATATTTTGTTTACAATTAGTTCAACGCATACATTAAAGGCACCACAGCAAATCGATCAAATAATTGAGGGAACATCTTGCCCGATAGGTTCATCCTGACTAATTTTTATTTTCTTTGACTCCAAAATTTTCGGATTCCCTGACTTTCCCTGACGTTCTAATAAAACTTCCACTTTGGTTTTTTCCCATTTAAATTACACTCGCTGCTGTTAAACGCACCTCGCACAATTCCCTGAATTTTCCTATGCATTCCCTGACTCACCCGGTTTTCCAGAGCGCCGGCAAACCAGCATGGTTTTTCAAAACAGCCGGAGTTGCTGAAAACAGGGCTGTCACAGAATTTAGAAAATGAAATTCCCTGACATCTCCCTGATCTCCCAGGCACATTCTAATAAAAATTCCCTGACAATTGAGGACATGCAAGATGCTCAGAAATACATGATTTGAAATACTTTTCAGGCGAAATTTTAAGTCCGAAACGTCAAACCTATTCTAGAGAGGATACAAAGGTGACCTGACAATTTTTCCGACATTTCCAGGGTTTCCCTAACTTTTTAAAATTTCCTGACTCGATATTCCCTGACTGTGGCAACCCTGTAAAAATTGGGCAGTTTTTTTTGTTTTTAATCGATGCTGCCATTTCCCGGCATTAATTCCGGAATTCAGAACTTTTCCCGGAATCTTCTGAATCCCCTTAATTTCCAGCTATGTTCGGAATTTCCTCGCAATTTGCGGTTTTTTGCCAGTTTGACCATTTATTTGATCAAATTTGACGATCTTTGGAACTAAATCCGGGCGTATTTCGGAATTTTCCCCCGGAATTTTTGAAAAAATCGGAACTTTTCTCGGAACTTCGGCAAATCGGAATATGTTTCTGGAAATCGGAATATTTTGATAAAATAAATGACAGCACTGATTTTAATAGTTAGACGCCTCGTGATCAAAGAAGGAGACTCTCTAAATTTATGTCCGCAGATGCCTAAAACTATGCATATATAAGAATTCCTGTAAATTTTTCATCACTCGGGGTCTCGTTCCGAAGCGGCCGGGCGAAAGTGAATGATGGAAGAGGTCAGACGACTGACGATCTGGGAAACGAAGGCGAAAACCTCGTGAATATTTCGAGGCGCCCCAACAGCGATGCTGAAAATCATGTGAACTCGAACAGCGATACAACGATGTCAGATGTCCCCAGTCAGCCCCGCGATAGCCCCCGCATCGCCAAACCACGCAAAAACCGCGCAAATCCACCCGAAAGTTCCGTGAGAGTTGGGTGGTTCTTGGCCGGGAGTTCCGGCTCCGCGGTATGCAAAAACAGCGGGAAGAGCGGTTAACATGGGGCGATAATTTGTGGAGCGCAAGGTTAGCGATGCCTCCAAGCTCAGATATTATTAGACGGATTCAAAACATTTCGGACTAAAATGTTGACCCTTCTTCGTCGCCCCGCCGACCCCCCTCCGCCCCCTCGGGAACACGCCTACTCGCGCTTTCCGCCTTCCGCCCAAATTTCATTCCGCCGTTTCATTCAATTTCGAACCGGGGCGAAAAGTGTGAAAAATGAGGTCTGCCCCTCCCCGCCCGCCCTCGAAAATTTAAAACATAATACAACTGGGAATTCAGGAAGTCGCCGAGCGATCCGGGAAGAACACGGGGTGAAATTAATGACCCAATTAATGGTGAGCAAATTGATAGGCTTATCAATTTGCGGCGTTGCATTCTCTGTCACACTTTGTTTTCGAGAATGCAAGATTTGGTTTGGTTTATCTTTGGTGTACATATCAAGAGTGCCTCTGGGGATTTCACGCTGACACAATGTTTTAGGAATTCGCCTAGGGTAACACCCTATATTAACGCAAATGAGATATTTCACATGCATTTCGCTACAATGAACGGAGTTAAGAGTTTAAAGGGAGAAAGAAAACAGAGAAATAGAAGTATAAAAAAGATAGTGGACGTATAAAAGTTCAAGGAGAAGACAACAATGGAATCTGAGTCGACATTTCTTATGGGAGTGCGCAAAATAGGATAAAGTTGCCTTGAACATGATCATTAAAAGCTAAGCATCAAGGGTGGGCGGG